GTTTATATTCTTCTGAGATTATTTTTGAGTCACTTGCTGACATGCAGGACACCGTAGGCTACCAACTATTGTGGATCACTGAAGATAAACAAGAGCAACTGCACAGTCTTCAGCAGCTCCCACATTCTCAAATCTGGTGGGGAATCATTGCAGCATAAATGGAGGCAGCTATCTTAGGCTTTCTCCTCTCTGCACAGTTAGTCCCTTGTGGCTACTGTCCTGGTCTCTGGTGGTTGTTCCCCACTGGAGTCTCCCTTTGTTTTATGCAGTATAGTTTCTAATGCCCATTCCTCTGCCCCTCAGTTCAAATTCAGGCAAAAGATTCCCTACTGCTTCCCAGTCCTGAATCCTGCTTCATTACCAGCCCTACCTCAGGCCAAACTTTAATCCTTATTCCCACTCCTACTACCTTCTTCTCCACCCCAGATTAGGGTATCTGGAGTATCCTTTCCTAGGACCCAGTATGAGGGACAATATCTCACCCCAACTGAAATAGAATACCTGTTACAGAAGTAGTTTGAAAATGTGTGAGTTTTAACCTTCTTCACTACAGTCTGGCCTCCCAGTCCTATGTGCCAGTTTCCATTCTTCCTAGAGAATGTCCTGTAAGTAATAATACTTGGAACCAGCTAAAGCACCACCTTTGAAAGAGCCCCATGGGTGTACTGGTGGGTCTTGGCTTGCAAGATCCAAGAGTCTCTGGTATTGATGCAGTCTTGTGGCAACCAATGGACAAATCTCAGCTAAGGAACAATATAAGGCTTTCACAGCCCTCTGTGTTTATGAGCCAAAGCAGCAAGGATCTAAGAAAGATTGGATTGTGACACCCAGGAAGTTTTTATGGGAGGGGCCCAGTAAAGTTCCAGTTATGGAATGATCAAGGGAAGAGTCTGAGGCATAGTTTGAAGAAAGGCCCCAATTGTTACCTATCAAGGAATTCAGAAAGCTACCCCATGAAGGCTTTGGGAGCTGATTCTGCAGAGGAGATAAAGAGTGACTTGATGAGTCATTCAGAGAAATGGTCAGAAAATGACTTATCAATGTGTTCAAAAGAGAACCTAGATTGGAAACAACTGGAAAATGCCTTAGTTTACTTGGACAGAAAGCTGGGGCAGGTCTATCACAGTGGTTTCATTATGTGTCTAGGTATGTATTGCTCATGGCTTGCTGCCAATTATACACTGTCCCCTCCTGGGAAGTCTTTAAAGTCACTTGGGAACTGGAAATTTAGTACCCTCAATGAATCAGGAACACTGCCTGAATACCTCTTGGAAGCTTCCCTTCCTTGATCTAGGCATTAGATAAGCACTAGGGAGCCCAGGTTTTATAGTTTTGGGTGTGCTTACCTCACCAGGTCCTTGAATCCATATAACTGTTAAGTTAATAAAGACCCAATTATGGTTTCTTCTCTGATCCACTTTTCTCTCTCAGCCACCCGTGTTTTGGGGATAGCTAAGTCAAGGTTGCATAGCAATTTGAAAGAAGCCATTGTGCAAGTCAGAGGACAGGCTGATCACAAAAAATTCAGTTTCTACCTTGGATAGTCCTTTTCCTGCCCCCTCAGCTGAGAGCAAGGAAACCAGAGGGCCCTGAGATGTTGGTCATGGTTCACACAGGACCCCAGTCCAAGAAGAAGAGCAGACAAACTTTTGCCCATCATCATGGGCAAATCGTGGCACAATGTAACTGTATGGGGAACAAGAGAGGCAGTCCCGAGTCACTTCCAAATGATGGCAGGACATGACCCAAGGGATCCGAGCGGAGTTGTACACCAACAGACTCCATCCATGGAGGAGCAGTGCCCCAGAGGTAGAGAACAGAGAGAAGAGTGTCTGGAAGGGATCATCGCTAAAGAGAGCATCTTGTTGGAGTTTCTATTTTAGGGAAAGGATATTGGATACTAATTTAGGGATTCCTTCAAGGGCCAGATAGTCCAGGAAGATAGTGAAGTCCAATAAGATGCCAGCTGCTAAGTCACAATCTGAAGATGTTCTGAGAGTCAATGAGCTGGGAGATGCCCAGAAGCTAAATGTCTGAGTGGTCAAAGAGCTCCAGTGATCAAGGAATGGCCCCTACCACCAAGAGTACTGGTTGCTCAAAATTCAGGATAGCCAAACCTTAAAGAATATATTGTTGTCATACAAATGAGCAAAGTAAGGTCACAGTACTGTCATTACAAAATTACACACACACACACCCCACACTACTTTAAAAGGATTCAGAAGCTTCTCAAAGTGAGAAGACCCAGTAAAGACCCACCTCCCCAGGACCTGGCTGACTAATTTTTCCCCTACTTTCTTTACTACCTTGACTTTTATATAGGTGTCTGTGTGTGTGTGTGTGTGTGTGTGTGTGTGTGTGTGTGTGTGAGTAGAGGATTATACAGGCATTAAAGTACCACAAATACCTCATGCAGCCTCCAAGAAGGGAAAGGTGCAACTGCAAGTAGAGTTGCAGAGCCAGCTTCAGGGATTTCTCATTGAAATGACCCTGGCCTCACATAGCCTGGCTTCTAAGGACTCATAGGCCCATCCCAGAGAGGGCTCAGTGGAGATATGACAGCTTCCCAGGTCTTCTATGAACACACTGAGGCCAGAGGAAGGAAGCAGTCTGGCTGAGAACACCTGGATCCCAAAACTTGAGGCCTGAGGAAAGGGCCAGGATAATAATTTAGCCCCAAGTGAAGAGAAAGACAACCTATGGGACCCAAAACAAGAAAGCAAGGAATAGCAGATGCAGGATTGGGGATCTCCCACCCGGGGCCAGGAAATTAGCAGACACTCTTGTGAGCAAGAACCCTTGATTTCTTCACTGGAAGGAATAGGCTCCTCACCAAAGTACTTTCAGTAAAATGATGAGCTTTTTTCCCTCACTGGTATTGTCCCAGGAGAAAATCAAGGGCAGAAGTTCCCTCTTAAAGCGTAGTTGGTGTTAGCCTCTGTATGGAGCTCAGGCCCAGGTGAAGGCAGAGATGCCTTCATGGCACTGAGGACACTGAAGCTCAGGAGGGCATGGTTCTTGTGGGCTTGATCTTAGAGAAGGATCTGGGGCTCAGGCATGGAGGAAAGTCAGCACCAGTAGAAAGTCTAGGCCCAGGCATAGCCTACAGATGGGCATTTCTGTGACTATAGGGCTCCTCCTTACCCAGTCCAAGGAAAGTAACAAATGCATCATGCAGGCCCTGAGTATCAGAGTTGTCTCAGCAGGGATATCCCTCCATTGCCTCCCAGGAGGACAATATTTCTCAAAAGAAAATTCCAGTCTATGTAGAGAAAATTATTAGTCCTCATGCTAGCATATCCTTCAAATATCCAACAAAGGATATTTATTCATTCTAAATAGATTTGTTTCTGCTAATAGCTGAGTGGTATCTTCTGTCTCTGTTGTGTTTGGGGTATATGTTTTAGAAATCTCACGAGCCTTGGGGAGCCTGGGTGGTTCAGTTGGTTAAGTGTCCAACTCCAGCTCAGGTCATGATCTCACCATTCATGAGTTCAAGCCCCACATCAAGCTCTGAGCCTGGACTCTGCTTCAGATTCTGTGTCTCCCTCTCTCTCCTCCCCTCCCCTTCTCACATTCTCTCTCTCAAAAATAAATAAAATTAAAAAAAATTAGAAATCCCATGAGCCTAGGCTTAGAGGAAGGAGTCAGCTCCACCTTATATTGAAGAACCACCTGGAGTTCTCAGAGGTGACCAGGGCCCTGGAGGGAAGTGAGTGGCACTTCACACCTGCCCCCATCCCAGGTTCATTGCTCCTGCTCAGATGCCTTATTTTTAAAATACTTTATTTTTTTTTCCATAATACTGTCATTACAAAAAAATACAAAAAAACTACTATAAAAACATTCAGGGGCTTGTCAAAGTGAGAAAACCTAAAGACCCCACCCCAGGACCTGGCTGAAGCAGTCTTCCCCTAGCTCCTTCACTACTTGACCTTTATACAATTGTGGGAGTGGGGTGGGGTCACACAGGCATTAAAGGGCTAGAAATTCCCCACACAGCCTCCATGAAGGGTAAGAAATAAGTAGCTTCACGTATCACAAAAATGGGATTTGGAAGTTTGAGGGTGGCTAGGCCCTGAGTTCAGAGGTGTGGGGAGAAACCTGTGACCCTGTATCTCTTGGTGGGGAATAGCTGTCATCTGACCCCAAAGCCCTTTCCCTTCCTGATGAAGGCTGGGGGATGGACCCTGCCCCCTACCTCTTAGCCTTAATACAGCAGGCCCTCTTCCCCTCCCTCCACCCCTGCACACTCCTGAGAGCAGCAGGGAGATCTGGGTAGTGTGGGGGGCTCTCAGGGAGGCTGCCAAGCCCCCATTCACCTTCCTGGCCCTAATGAAAAGTGTCTCGTGCTCAGTGGCCCGGTTCATGGGTTACGGACCTTCCCTTCTTAACTCTGTAGAGGCACAGATAGCTCTAGGTGAGTGCTTCGTGTGTGTGAATATGTGTGCATTAACCTTAGACACTGTGGACCTAGGGGTGGGGCTGGGGTGGGAAAGCAGTGTCCTTTCTATCTTCTTCCTCTGCCACTGGGAGGAAGCTGGAGAGAAGGGAGAGGAGAGGTATTAGCAAAGCTGAGAGGGGTAAGAGGACATGCTATTTACAGGCATGGACAAGGAATCTCTGTATCTTCAAGTAGCACTCAGGTCACTCTCCAGCCACTGGAGTGGGAACTGGATTCGAAACTAGTGACATGAAAATTGACCCCTGGCCTGGGCTAGCTCTCCCCACCTCCCACCCACTTCCCCAAGGCAGCCCAGCTCTGAAAGGGGTCAGGGACAGGAACATTTTCCTGAAATCCAGTGGCTTTTTTTTTTTTTTTTTTTTTTTT